AAAAAAATAAAATTTATTTTTTATATAAAGTGGTCATGATGGGAAATGTAATTTTTAATTTTAACTTTTGTAAAGTGCAAGTCCGCCCAATTCCATTCTGATAAAATGAATCATTAAAGAAACCTTACCTTATCAAACATGAATGCACATTAGACATTAGAGGTAGTGAGATAGTCTTCGTACGATATTGGGCTGTTAGGAGGGCAAAACTGAAAGAGAAAAAACATTAAGTATGTATTGAAAAGATACATAAACTGAATTAGTTTCAAAATAGATTATACTTAATTGGTTTACCGGTAAATTCACAAATATTACATTTGTACAGACTAATTCAAATTTGAGGCATATCATGGAGATATCTTAAACTGTAAGAGATACGATGGCGGTTAAATTGAGCTTTCTATACGAAAAAAAACGAAAGAGAGAAAGAAAGTTTAGGAGGGAATAGAAACATTTGGTAATGAAGAGTTAAAACGTACGATGTCAGAGTGGAGTTTTTAAAATAACTGTTTTAACACATTTTTTTGGTTCGGTTTTCAAGAACCTTTATTACACTTGATTTATTTTAATTACTACACATTAAAGATTGCAAATGAACAAACTAACATAGGTTTGACCTATAGAGTAGACTGTGAACTAAAAAAATTTAAAAAGTTTTGGGTGTTTCATTCTCACCAGCCAGTAATGCTAGTAGGCGGGCAATCCCTCCCGACTACGCCTGAAGGTAGGGCGGAAGACCCTCTTCAGCCTGCTTTCAGGAATCGTGGGAATGGGTGGGTGGTGGTTCGAGTGAGAACGTTGATACGGATGAAATGAAGACAGAAGGGAATGAAAGATTATCTGTGGAATATTACTGCCTCAGCATTTGCCTAAGTGATCCAAGGAAACCACAGGAAAACTTGGACCAAGGCAGACGGACGTGGAATCGAACCGGCGTACTCCCGAATGCTAATGCAATGGTCTAAACCTCTAGGCTATGCCGCTCTGTGAATGAACTAAAAAACTTAAAAAAAAAACGTTTGGGTGTTTCATTCCCACCAGCCAGTAATGCTGGTGGGCGAGCAGTCCCTCCGGACTATGCCGGAAGGTCAGGCGGAAAACCCTCTTCAACCTGCTTTCGGGAATCGTGGAAATGGGTGGGTGGTGGTTCGAGTGAGAAAGTTGAGACGGACGAAATGAAGACAGAAGAGAATGAAAGATTATCTGTAGAATATTACTGCCCCAGCACTTGTCTAAGCGTTCCAAGGAAATCACAGAAAAACTTGGACTAAGGCAGAAGGACGTGGAATCGAACCGGCGTCCTCCCGAATGTTAAGCAATGGTCTAAACCTCTGGGCCATGCCGCTCCGAGAAGGAACTAAAAAACTTTAAAAAAAACTTTTGGGTGTTTTATTCCCAATGCTGGTGGGCGGGCAGGTCATCGAGGTATAAAGATGCGTGTTCTATTAATAATAATAATGAGACAGTTTAAATAAAGCAATTGATTTTGCAACTGACGAGAATATCAAAATTTTGAATAAAGTGCTAAAATCTTTTTTGGTTCGTCAGATAATCGAAAAAATTAATATTTTAAATTTCTTTAACTCATCGTCAGAATATTTTACTTATAATTACATCTATTGGAATATTACATTCTTATTGCAGCTTTTTGGAACTCCATACATCGGTGTCTTCAGAATTTGCATGCAACGTTTCGTCTTAGCGGAAGTACCATTAACATTAAAATTTTAAGTACGGATCTAGATTTTTTATTTTTTTTTTTACTTTTTTTTAAAAAAAATGTGCTAAACGTACATCGTATGGTCTCTTACTTATTCTCGACGTTACGCAGCAATAAAACCATCATGAGACAGCAGTTCAGCTTTGTTCTCAATGAAATAAAGAAAAGACAACAGAGCACAGAGCCAAAAAATTCTGTAACGAAAAGGTAATCTCTAGAAATTTCTAGAACAGTCCACAACATTCGAGAGTATTCCACAACATTCCAGAACGTTAGGGAACATCACAATCATTGTATTTTAAAGTTTATCCTTTTATTCCAACTACTATATAATCCCATATAAACTCCCTGAGCAAAACCGGGTACCCCAGGTAGTCATTAATTTGATGTAATCTATAAAGCAGAGCCGGGCAAAGTTTAACTTCGCAGAAGCCGCTACATGAGGTTAGTTTGAGTCCCTCCATACCCTTCAATGAGTACGAGAGAGTAAGCAGTAATTAATAATTTTGTTTTGTCTTTTTTTTCTCTCTTCCACTCCCCTATCAAGCCCCTTCATCCCGTAGACGAGCGAAGCCACTCTCGCAACTTAAATAATACCTACGAAAATTTTCGTTACTACGTTCGCAAAACTATTGGGTTTGACTATGGAAGAGGGGACTCACCTACGAAATGGAAGGGATAAGAAAAGGAAAGAATCATCTCACTCGCACTCGCAGGATTAATGAGGAGCTACTTGGTTAACCTTAAGGAGCACTCGGGAGTCAAAAGAGCCGAGTTTGCCCGGCTCTGCTATAGAGAATAAAAAGTGAACTTCATTGATGTTATGTGGAGATCAATATGTTCAACAAGGTTCATTTATATAGATGGATAGCTGCTAGCTGGTCTAATCTAGGTCTACCCCTACCCCTCCTAACTCTCTCTGTTCCTCTATTCTTTCTAATATCTCTTCATTTCTAACCTTCTCTATCCACGGTATCTTCATCATTCGTCTGTAACACCATATTTTGAACCCTTCTAACCTTTTTTTTCCGCAGTGCCCACCGTCGATGTTCTCTCGATCCTGCTCTATCCTCTACTTAATATCCCTACTACCCTAAGCAACAAATTTTCCTCATTAACTTGAAGTAATTTATAGTAGGTATAAATGGAAAATTCATTTTCACATTAATATTTGAAATCTCAATTCGACGATTAATCGATTTGAGATTTCCATTTTTAATTTTCTGGAATATATATCTATAATAATAGCGCACCTTGTGAACTTATAGTAGTCATGAAGATTTCTTTATTTAAGGAATATGGATCAAAAAACTCCAAACCAACTGAAATGTTTTCGTTGTAATTCATGTGGAAAACCTCTAACATTAGGACCTGTGTCTATTCATGTAGACGGAATGTTTTACTGTGAAAAATGTAGCTCAAGATATGCATATGCAGGAAACAACTCTTTTTATAACACCACTCTTGGTGCAGCATTGTATAGACATACGTTTAAATGTGGCAATAATGGGTGTAATGAGGACATCCCCTTGCTCCAAACCAAGATGCACGAAGATAACTGCAGATTTAAACCAATACCGTGTGTACTTTCACACTGCAATTGGCTCAAAAGCAAAGGAGATTTTCTTGATCATTTTCGCTTAAGTCACGGTCAGTTTTATTGTAAAGAAAATGAAAATATTATGTTCGACATTCAAGGCAAACAGAAAGAGAAATTCGTTATGATTGATAATTATTGCTTTATTAAAATGTATACCTCTGAAGATGGGACTACTTTAAATTTTGCTGTTTGTAAAATACAAAACAATTTCGAAAGCTGTAAAATTGATATATTCGATAAGGATCTAAATTATATGGGTAAATATGCTAGAAATGCCGAAGCATTTGATGAAAATTTCACAAATTGTAATTGTGTAGTCTCTTTTCCACATATTGATAAGTTTTTTAGTACTTCAAGTGTATTAAATATTCAAATTACTTGTAAAAACAGTTATTAACAATAAAATTTCCCTGATAAATAATATTTAGTATTGCCTTTTTATTAAATAAAATACCAACAATGGCGCGGTAAACGCCATCTGTAGTACAGTGCTACATTTAGAGGAATTCAATATGCTCAACAAAGTCCATTTTAATAGATAGATATCTACCTGCTGAACTGAATTCACGGTGTAGTTCACCACTACGTGATAGGCACGTTACCAAAATCGAACAAACAAATTCAAAGTGGTCAGTATTCGCGGCGCGACGCGCTGATGAGATCCAAATGCGCGTCTGGCAGTTTTGACAGAATACTGACCACTTTGAATTTGTTTGTTTGCCTTTTTATTGATTACAGTAACGCGTTGTGAAATGTAAATATTAGCAACATAAAGAACGATACGAACTAGTTCCTACAATGAAAAAGAACTAGTTCGCTACGAACTATCAATTTTTTAATAAATGAAAAGATATTGAAATTAAACAATCGATCTCGTTTGTATTGTTCGTTCCTTCCCGATATACATTAGAATTACTTCACGGTGACTGAAAAAAAAACACATTAAGACGTTTACTTGAAGGTAAGTATTATGTATTAGTGTTACAACAGACCTCTGCCACTGCTTCCGCAATTACGGAAGTTCCGCATACATTTTCACATCTACTTCTGCATCTGGTTCCGCATTTTCATAACGGAAGCTAATCGGAAGTTAACAAAATATTATTTCTCATTTTTTTGAAAATCAACATATTGGAACAATAAAACAAGTCATAAAAATTTTTTATTTTATCTGTTGGCCGAACTTGCAGTTTTCAAAATACAATTTAAGTGGAATTGCTCGTTGCAAAGGTGCTAGTACCTGCGCCAGCTTTCAACGACACCTCATAACATTGTGAACGTATTATTATCAACCGTTTATGTATTTGTTCCCGAAATAATGACGATTCGAATGATACTGCCGCTGCATTCCCATCGCACCGTCCATATAGGACCATCATGTCCTCCTATTTTGGATGTGAATACATTGGCTTTTGCTTGATATTTCCACATTCAAATTATTTTTATATTCTGTGGTAATACTTTGCCAATGGAACGTTAACGATAGCAGATTATTACAATTGACTTGTCTACGTCTTAACTGTTTGCAAAGGTCACGGATAGGTATGTGTGTTTCGTCGAAAGCTCATAAGATAACGCAGGTACCTGTTCTCAATCATTGACAGCTCGTTAACCAGGGTACTTTTTATGTACACTTACATCCTCTACGTTGTGGTGCTATGGCGAGATGCACTCTACAGTGGCTCCAGATGTTGCCCCTTAAATATTCAGGAATACTGATCAGACATGGTGTATAGAATATTGAAGTATTAAAAACCAAAGTAACTTATACTAATATATTATGTTACTATTACATCAGAAAGTCAAATCTACAATATCCTGAAAAATCGAATTTTTTCTAACTTTCAATTGAATTAAAAGCTTATCGTTAGACATACTTTTAGTGATGTCAATATTGTAACTACAGGGTACAAAGTACTCGTCGAAATACGGATAGGGTTTCCACCAGGCCGATTTTCCACCGCCCCAGTCGGTTGGTCATTATCGAGGCTGAGTACTGTTCAGTACTCAAAAAAAAGACCGGTTTTCTTACCATTCTCTAAACAATAGATAATTATCGAATTCAGTAAAATCTGCTAAAAATTACAAATCAAGACATGATCCGCCATCTGTTGATGAATAGTGAGATTTCTTGCTGACATATTGTACAGGATGGTGATTTGACCTGTCTATTTTCCGGAATTCACCAAGCCTTATAAGCTTATTGTGCATCTACTCCCAAATAAGTGAATGTTAATGATGATTAAATGCAAGATACACCACCAAAGACAAAACGTAATTAATTCTGACCTCCAATTTTTCCTATCCTAATCTTCGCATTTTCGTAAAACTAGAACATCTCAAATCCTTAATTATTTGTAGTCTAATCTAAGTCTATCTCTACTCCTCTTAACTCCTGCTTCTGCTTCTATTATGTCTCTGACGAGCCCTTCATGTCTAAGAAGGTGTCCACCAACTTATCTTGCCTATTTCTTATTGACTTTCATAAAATACAATAAAAACAGATAATTATTACTGTACAAATTCTACAAGTAGATTTATATGTGTAAAAAAACGTTGCACGCCAAATTAATATTGTGCAACTAGTTAAATTGGATCGTGATTTCGATGAAGAATAAAAGTTCGCCGTTTTATTTAAAACATTTACTGGAACTTCTATTCTAACCACTAAAAACTAAACTTCAACGTCTAAATTATAACTATCAAATTCGTCCAACAAAGAAAACTATTTTGGATGGTTACTGGAGCAAAACTTACTTGTTTGAGAGATGAAATGTGAATGTCTGATTTTTAATGTAAAATGAACTCTATCTACAAACAGGAAAATTCGCTGTTTTATTTAAAACATTTACTGGAACTTCTATTCTAATCACTAAAAACTAAACTTCAACGTCTAAATTATAACTATCAAATTCGTCCAACAAGGAAAACTATTTTGGATGGTTACTGGATGCAAAACTTACTTGATTGAAGGATGAATTGTGAACGTTTGATTCTTAATGCACTATGCAACTATATCTACCAACAGGTAAATTGGTGAATATTATTTTAGCGGGGGTGAATAACTAGAAACTGAATATAACACAGAATATGGAAAGCCCTATCATTAAATGTGAGCACAATCGCCATACAACATTTCTTTCCAGTTTATAAGGGTTCTGTGAATACCCAGGTAAAATGTAAACTGGTCCTGTTGTTACTAACTTAGACACTATTGCAAATATGAATTTAAATTAAAAATATTTCATGTACAAAAAA